ATCTCTTTCCCCATTCTGTCTGTTGTCCCACCTCTATCTCCGCCCCCCCCTCTTTCTTCCTCGCAAACCATTTCTTCTTCAACGCATTTCTTTTCGCCTGTCTGTAAGTCTGAGTGAACAACTGTTTGTTTGTGGGTGGTTGGCGGGTGCTCTGGTGTGGTTTGCTCCTTTTTTCCTATGAAACATCTATCGTCCTTATCTCCCCTCCTTCTTTTTTATGTTTGCCACTCTCTTGTAACACCTCTAATCATCTGGTGCTCATACGACCTTATGCAGTTGCGAGCGCAGTAAAACCTCTACTAAAAAAAAGTGAGCAACTGTTTGTTTGTTCGCCAATCATTTTGGCAGGCAAATCATATGTACTCTTATGTTCTGTTCTGATGGTTTTTCCTTTTGTCTGTTTCTGCTATTTCTGTAACCTGTTGTCTGTCTGACGTCACAGTTCTGTTGCCACTACGACAACAACATGTTTCTTTTCTGACGTCATGATAAATCCAACTGTTTGCTTGCAGGATACGTCATATTTTTTTAAAACGCTATCTGTACGTCGTGTTTTACTGTCGTATCCATACGACGTGGGGAACTCTGTGCTACCACTTTCCAAAGAGGAAATTTACCCGTTAATCCGATCCGTACGTTTTGCATAGCAGTCTGTCAAAATGATTTTTTGAGAAATACAGAAAGTTTCAAAGAGATCTTCGTTCTAGAAGTATTCTAAAATGTGAAGAATAAAAACCCCGGGGTACACAATGACCCCAGTAGGGGTGTACAGATCTCCCCAATCGAGAACACTTAGAAAGCAGCCTTCCCAACCTCGTGTGCCAGGGCCTACTCAGGCTGAGTGGGATACAGTATCTCGGTAGAAAAAACAAACGTACTACCAACCCTCCCCACCCCCCGGCCTTAAAAAAAATAACAACAATATAAAACCGAAAAACAAAACAAAAGCAAAAAATTCAAAACAAAACAAAAACAACCGAAAACACTCAACAACAAAAATGTTCTGTTTCCTATTTCTTTAACTAAAAAAA